AATGGTAACGATGATAATATGGCAGTTATTACTCGTAATATTGGTAACTTTTTGAACGCAGTACCCAACAGTAATGATGAATTAAAGCTAAACTTATCTTAATTTTACTGTATACGAGAGGCAGAATTTTTCAAGAAATTCTTAAATTTGCCAAGCCAGATTTTGTTTAAGATTGATCGTGAGCGAAATGCCAAATTTATCAAGACATCTGAATTGTCTGAGCATTTGCGCGAACGTCTGAAACGATTCAAGGAGCAAGAAGAAGAGAGACTGAAGGAGAAAGTTTATAAGGAAACACTTGTTTCGGTTCGTTTTGATTTGTCACAAAGTTCCCTTTTCCATTCGAAAATATCTCTTTGTCGACGTGATTATTTTTGAGTAGTGCTGTGCAACTGTTTTTCGAGGAAACAAGAGAAAATGCCTTAAAATTTTGCAATCTTTTTAACCATTCTGAAATTATCGATATGGATTTCTGATACTAACTGCATCGATTTGTCTGATCGCCCATGTTTACTGGTCAGCTATAACTCATGGCCTAGTTTACGAACAATGTAGAGGGCTTTTTTTTGCAGCTGTTTTGACCAATGCTTTATTGTCTGGTGGTTAGTCTGTTGGCGATTTAGGTATTCGTTCTATTTTCTGAAATAATTACCAGTTCAGCGTTTCATCTTGCAAAATCATTTGACCAGAACGGGAGGGGAGGGGGAAGCGAATAAGGTAGGAGTAGTTAAATGTGGGTCAATCTTTCGTAAAATATCAGCATTTATGAATTTTTACGAGAAAATTGGATTATTAAAAAAGAACTGAAGAGTGATTGGGCAGCTCAAGCGTGGAATTTGTTTAAATCCTTTACATGTTTGATAGAAATTTTTATTTAAAAACTGAAATTTGCTGAATTTTTTTTTTGTTTCAGATCAGTGTTGCACTGAATGGTGCGCATTTGGTACCGAATGTTGAAGGTGCGGTGCAATCGCTGAAACTTCCATACACAGCAACATTATCAGAACTCTATGATGCCGCTTTTCTGGCATTTTTAAGCGATGTAACCATAGAGTTTTCTGAAATACGTCTGTTGCAGTGCAAAGACTACAACTACTCCATCGTTCGTTCATTTTCGGAAAAAGAAATGCAACTGGTAATTTTTCATCTTAAGCAGTAATGCTTAACGCATTTTTTTTTTTTTTTTACATAGACACTTGAGAATGTCAGTTTTTTGGACGTTCTGCTACTGATTGTTTACTTTTGCGGTATCATTCATTGGTAGCAGTGGAGGTAGTAGTGATGATATTCATAGTACCATCGTTATTAGTAATAATAACAGAACTTCAGCCTCCTAGACTCCGTGGTTCCCGAGATATTAACTTACCCGTGAATATTTTTCACGGGG